TTTTTTTTTTTTTTTTTTTTTAATTTTAAATATATATATATATTTTATTTTGTTTGCTTGTGAAAAAGTAATCTTGTCATCCTATTGTTAAGAGTTAATAAAAGCTAGGATGTAGAAAAAAGTGTAGTTGAAGTGCACACAATTTTTTTGTTTTATTTTCGTTCTTTCTTTCTTTTTAAAATTTGTACTTTTAGGGTTATGTTTTCTTCAATAGCTCTTTGGCCAAGGCTCTTAAACTATGGTGTTAGTGGAATTGAGAATTTGAAAGTGGCAATTGGAGATGATGCATGTGCCTTCATGACAATTGGGATGGTTCATGTACTACTATGGCTTCTGGTTTTCTGACTACTTGCTAAAATGGTCCATGGAATATACTCAATGTTTTTAGTGCTTAATCTGAGTTTTTGTAGCACGTTCCAAGAATTAATGGAGAAATTCCTTCTGTTGATGAAGAAGCTTTAGATCATCAAAGGCTATTGGACAGGTGGTGTTTCTATGTTCGTCTGATGCCCCTTTTCCTCCCTGTCCCCAGCTCACTCTCACACATGCACGTCTCTAACTTTGGATAGTGACAGTTATTTGTTGATGCTTAGCAAGAACATGACATGCTAATGTTTAGTGCTATAATGCTGAACTATTCTTCTCCTTCCCCCCTTAGACTGCAGCTATATGATTTGATCGAGATGAAAGTGCAAGGAGATGGTAACTGCCAGGTTATCTCTTCTTACTGTATCATCTTAAGTTTTGTCTGCTATGGTGTCGTTGGTGCAAATTTTTGTCTCATATTATAGTACTATGTCACCACTGTCTTGATTTTAGATATCTTTAGTTTTATCTGTTACCTTAGTAATTTGAATTCCTGGTGCTAATGGTAATACCTATTAATTACTTTTGATGGCTCTATTCATTCTTTCTGGAACATGTTCCTTATTTACATTTTGTTTCCAGTTTCGTGCCCTGTCGGATCAAATTTATCGAACTCCTGAGCACCATAATTTTGTGAGGGAGCAAGTTGTTAATCAGGTTCTGACTTTTATATTTATATGGAATATTCATATTTATACGTTGCTTCTGACTTTTATTTTTGTGCTATAATTTTATAGCTTTTATGATTTTTTAGTGTTGAAGTCTTTTATAATGAAATATTTGAACTCTCAGCTAAAGTCATATCCAGAGATATATGAAGGATATGTTCCCATGGCCTACACTGACTATCTGGAGAAAATGTCGAAGTACTTATCTGATACATTTTGTGATATGTTTTTTCTCCTTGAAAGTTTGACTGGTAGGATGTCTAACTGGACTCTTTGGTCTTGGGATTTCTTTTGGTTGTGCATAGGAGTGGAGAATGGGGCGATCATGTCACTCTGCAGGCTGCTGCAGATACGGTATGTATGGGCAACAAGCTATTATTGTAGTATTAGTCGGCAACAACATTATAAATCATGATTCAGCCTTATATTGTGTACATACAGCAACTAAATGCATGCTAAGTAACAATTTTAGCATCTATTTGTAGGACGTGCAAGCCTTCTGCCAAGACGGCAATGTAAATAATTTGTTCACAAATCCTAATATATGTTGTGCTGTGGTGCAGTATGGTGTTAAAATTTTCATGATTACATCATTCAAAGATACCTGCTACATCGAGATCCTTCCTAATATTGAAAGGTCCAAAAGAGGTAGGTTCCACTTTCTATCGTTTTGACTTCCTAATATTTAATAATAAGTCATTGAGTATTTAACAAATGACATTTTCTGAGCATAGATTTTCCATGTGAAGATTATATGAAACACATAATTTTCAGTTGATTTTAGACTTGTAGTGGTCGGGAACTTAGAATATGCCATGTTAAAATGTTGATAGAAGATTAAATTTAGTGTAGCTCATTAAGTTAAGGTTTTGAGTTCAATGGTGATTTAATATGGCATTAGAGCAAGATGTCTTATGTTCAAAGCCGGTAATGCCATTTCCTCTCTAGTTGATTTTGATAACTACTTGTCAAGTCTTGTGCAAATTTCAAGCCTACAAGAGAGGGAGAGTTTTATTTAAAGCATTTATATTAGACTATATTTTCTATAACTCATTAACTTAAGTTTTTGGGTTAAATGGTGTTTTAACCTATAATATTCTAGGTTAGTAGGTTGGTGGAACAAGGGGGTTTTTATTCACTTTCTTGAAACGTAGTATCAATGCCACTATGTCCAACCCTGGTGCTAGTATCCTAAATCTGTCGATCCCTTTGGTGGAGGAAAGATTTTGTTCTGACAAAATGATAGGGATATCTTAACGGAAGTTTTCTTTTCTTTTATAATGAACAGTCAGAAACCAAAAAGTGTGAAGCTTGTTGAATGTACAAAAGACGTGGGAAAACCCCATTAGCCTAAGGATTGTATAAAAACCTTCCAATTGCCAATAACTGGCAATATATAATAAATAAAGAAGAACTTGGAACAAACCAAAAGGAAAACTCCAAGAAGTGGTATAAAAAAGCAAGAAGGTCTAGTAGTTGATCCTTTTCCTTACAGAGCTCTTCTAGTCACTCTCAGTCTGAATGAAAAGCACAGCACAAATATCGTTCAGCACAAGTGCTTCAGCTTTCTTTTTAAACTTATTGGTGAGTCAAAGTTAGGACGATACACGCTTTATTCTTCTAGAGAAGCAACCTCATCATCACGCTTTATTCTTTTTAAACTTATTGGTGAAAGGAGACTAAATGAAGAGTACAATCCTCATCATCACTGCTCTCTTGAAGAAGGAAGCACCAATTTGGAGAAAGTACTCTCAATTGGTTTCTCATCAGAAACTTATCATTAGCATTGATTCCTTTGAGGCAGGTAGCTCAAATGAGTGTCTTACAGGTCTTCAAAATTCTTTGACAAAGTTACGGTACCCTGCCATGTTTGAATGAGCAACAAACCGATGATTCAAGATTATTTACTAAGTCTGACGCTTGATGCAACTAACATCTCAAAAGGTTTTTTATGATTCATTACATTCCTTGTTTAATTGTGTAAACTTATTCAAACAAATTCCCCATGTATATTGGACTTGAATAGAAAAGCTTGCCTCTGGGTTTCAGCTGGCTAGCAAGACTTCTCCTGGTTTCTATCCACTGATATCATGTTAAGGCATCGGCATTAAAGCTAATCACTCCTGCCGAGAGGTTTTTTAGCCTCCAGTAATCCGTGAACCACAAAATACCTCTATCTCAAAACAATAGTTTGGGTCCTCTCCTATAAAAATGGGCATTTCCTCACGCTTATTGTTTATTGTTGTCACCAACTCCACCCATTCAGCTTCCCTCTTCACTCATCTGTATTCCTACTCCAGTCTTGTTGGCTTAATGTACGCTCTTGTTTACTATTCGTTCAGAACATTTCCATAATACCAAGTCTGAATATTTCCTTTGGCGTTGGGGATGTGAAGGGCTTTATTCATGTTCCTTTAGAATTCATCAGGTGCATGGGTTCTCTATTAGCGACTCTGTTGTCTTATTTCTATCAATAGCTTAGCTTTTGGAAGCTAGGGCTTTCAATTCAGTATCCTCTCATTTACTTAGCTAACACTTTCACCTGAAGGGTTCTTTTAGATATCACCCTCATTCATGCATTCATTCATTAATGACCTATTTGTGGAAGAAAGCTGAAATTTCACCCCTTCATCGTCTGAGCATGTTTCTCTCTTAACATAGTGCTGGGTGTAACATATACTTTCCATTGAAAACGAGCGACTACAAGTCACCCTCTAGTTCCCCCTGATAGGAATGCATGCACAGTTATATTAACGAGTACGAAATTTACCATTAGAACCTGAAGCCATTGATTGCTATATATACTTTAAAGTGGCTACGTATTGTTTGATCAGTAATGGGCAGCTACTACCGAGTGTTTAATTCCATTACCCCACATGAGCAATCAATCATTCTCAAATTCCTCTCAATCAGTTTTTTTTTCCCTTTCTTTTTCAAAACCCTTTCAGCTACTTAGAAAAGTTATATGTTTTATTTTCATTGTTAAATGGCCTAAATGTTGAGTTTAAGAGTACTTTGTAGCTTTAAACTTAGCAAATGTGGAAATGTTGAGGGATATATGGATATGAAAAGACATGTAAATGTCGAATCTAGACAAGTCATAATGTTCAAGTTATCTTATTTTTCTCCTTCATGCTCTTTTATTATTGAAAAGATTTTCTAATTGGACTTTTGACTTGCAGTTATTTGCTTGAGCTTTTGGGCAGAAGTGCACTATAACTCAATATATCCTGAAGGAGGTGAGCTCTCACTATCTTTAGTTTGATAATTGACTATTTCATTTACTTTGTCAACGGCAATGGGACTCTTAAATTGTTGGATCCTTCTGCACCTTTCATTGACCATATGATAATTAATCCGTCAAGTATTAGATGTGTTTAGTCTTTATGTGAATTTCATCAGAACTGGTGGGCTTGATGAGCTCTTTATGCCCCTTCTTTCCTGAAGTATTGTCTTTCATTAGTTCTATGTTTATGCCTAATATCTTGCTCAGCACGATTGTAAGATATTTCAAGTCTTAAAGCGATTCTTGTGTGAATAAACTGACATTTGTGGCGATTCAAGAAGGAACTCGTTGGCTTGTGATGAAGCCGGCAAGATGCGCTGCTTTAACATCTTCCAGCACATCTTACATAATTATCCTCATAATCTTGGCAACTAAATGGTATCCTTATTAAAGATTACCTCGGAAAGGCACTTTTTCCATTTGACATAGGGTGAAATGATCATTATCTAACGGTGGTTGATGAAGTTTTCACTGAAAACTAAATTCCTTAATTGAGCATGAAAACAAGCTTTATGATTCCTTAGTACTTCCCCCCTTCCCCTCTCCTTGCCTCCCCTAGTATTCAGAAACAGCCAATCTACGAAGTTTTTAATTGTTGCTGGTATTTGTTATCTGTATGGAAAGTTGATTCCTTCTCGTGCACACTGTTTGTAAAGCCAATAGAACCTTTTGCATTATATTTGGTTTTCTCCAGATGTACCCATGTTTGAGACGAGGAACAATAGATGGTGGATGCTTCAAAACGAGCATCTGGAATGACGGAACAATTAGCAATTTTCAATATTGCTAATCACAGAAAGTTGTATGGATACATCAATCCTAATTGGATCCGTAAGAGTTCAGCATCTAATTGCTCTTACTCGCTAGGTTTCTTTCCCCTGTGGGAAAAATTATGTGAAATACAGAAATGCCGTCATGCTTTTTGATTAATGTGTGCATCTCTAACATTTGCCTGGAATATTTTGTTTTCCCCCTCATTTTTTGGGGCTCTAGTAACTTCAATTGTAATCTCGCACTTTGTTTTCAAGTGCTTTGAGTAAATGCTAATTATGTTATGCTATTTTCTGCTTCCAATTTGCTCCAAGTTTCCGTTCATTATGTGTAGTGCAGGCTATTTCTCTGCCTCTCTTACCTGCTCTCTTTGATGTTCCCATTCATTAAGTTTTCCTCTCCTCAAACTTCCTTTTAGACAACAAGAAGCTATTATTTGCGCTCTTGTACAGCTCCCACGACAAGAATGGTCTCATTTTAGCCTCTCCTTCAGGTGTATGTGGGTCAATTTGACTCCGCAAAATAGGTCCCCATGTGATCCATTGGAAGAAACATATATAACATTTTAGGGTTTGTTTGAAAAATGGGTTTGTTTTCAAAACAACTCATTTCAAGGGAGAAAGGGATAGCTTGTGGAAATTGACCATCTAAATGCATTATCTCTATCTTTAAAGGAGAAAATTCTAAACTATCATTGAGTCGTTATGGAAAAGGACACCATACCCAAAAATTGATCCAATAATTAGCGGAGTAGGATTGAAAATGGTCACTTTTGGTGATAAGATACCAGGTGATGTGTTGATCAGTAGTGATAATTTCTGAAACAAAAACAAAGGATCAGGAGCTACAAAAGCCCTAGCAATAGGACGGCCTATTACAAAACCAGAGGCGTCTGCCCATGAATTGAGCTCTTTTCCATTGATGACAAAGTAAGAACAAAACAACCATTTTTTTTTTTTTTTTTCTTTCTTTCTTTTATTGTTCTTCTTTTAATAGAAAATACTCTTGTTCATACTTCATATTCATCAATGGTCCATTTAGAGATACCATTTATATAGATCACATTCCATAAACTGCCATTCATCTAAATCTCAGTCGTCGTCCTCGGCTTCTCTCTCGGAGTTTTCTGGTACTTCTTGAAGAGTGTTGATATGACGAGCAAAAAGTTCCATCTCAAAATCCGAGACCAAGTCAAATTCATAATTTGGCAAAGGTACCTGCTCATCAACAGTTGGGAATGCATAGTTGTTTCCATCCAAAGTTTTTGCTGTAGTAGTAGTAGTAGATGAAGATGGATCAGAAGGCTTGCAGCCATGTAACTCTGGAGCAGCAGAGGCAATATCTTTACCAGTTATAGCTATAATTGATGGCTCAGCCTTCTTCAACAGCCACTCTACAGTCTGCCCATCTGTTTTATTTCCAAGCTCGCGAGTTAGCTGAAATACCCGAGCTGCACACAATGGTGGAAGGCGGATACGTCGATCGCGCCCCTGAACCTTGGCATGGCGATCTTTCAGAGCTTTGGAAGGGATGGGCTTAGACTCTGAGGCATTTGGTACACTTCTTGGGGAGTTAGATGTAGCCTTCTTGACTCTCATGTTTTTTGAACCCATGAATCCTTTTAGAGAAGTTTTCCCAAACACATGAGGATTCAATGTAATGTCCTTTTAGGGTTTATATAAATCTCCGTTGTGTGCGCACGCACGTGCAAACGTTTGCGTTACCGAAAGCTTATAACGGTGTCATTAGTTGTTTATAACTTAGAAAATCAGGTGTTTTTGTGCAAATTTTTGGGCTTTCCTTTTCAGAGATTTCGATTTCAATTAATGTATTATAAGAATTGAATTTCTTCTTGGCTTAGTAATGTCATTGTAGTAGTGCATATCTGCATAATAAACCCAAACCCAAGTTCTTTTTCTCAGGATTGAAAGTTGTATTAGTGTTAATACAAATTGATTAAATGATAGAAATGTAATTAATTAATTAAGGGAAATTGATTTGGTTGAAACTACTTTGTTAGGCAGGTTGGTGATAGTAATGTTCTTACCAAAACTGGGTGGTAAGAAATGGAATGTGTGAGTTGTGCCGTGAAGGCTCTTTCTTGGCTCAAATCTACTCTCCAATATCAATCATTCACATGAAGAGTCAATTAGGGTTGTTTTGACTTGGAAACGGATGGTTCTAATTTGGTATTTTATATAGCTTTATATATATATGTCAACCTACGTTTGGATTTTTCTCTTGTAAGTTTTTGTTCTAATCTTTTTAAAATGATATACAATTTTAACAAACTTCAATTTACGCTTAGCTGAGTGGTTAATACATCTACTCGTTCTCTTGAAGTCCGAAGCTCATATTCTATATTCTGGTCTTTTTTAATCGAGGTGTGGCTTGCATCATTCCAACAATTGGCGGGGAGTGAAGCTGCGAGTCTACCCTTCTCGAGCCTACTTAAATACAAGATTCAAATGAGATTTTTATTTTTCAGTATAAGTATGTTAAACAGATAACTAACCTAAAAATAATCTATCAAATTCAAACAACTCTATTGCCAAAGACGATAGGATAGAAGTTCCCCACTAGTTGAGATGATAAAGGTAGTTGAAGGTAAGTTCAGTCTTTTTTTTTTTTTTTTTTTTTTTTTTTTTTTTTTTTTTTTTTTT